AAGGTTTTTTTTTTTAAATCCAAGCTATTGTGACACCAGATGTATTTGGTGGCACTGACTGGGGAAATGGGCACAGTATGCACTGTGGGCCTGACACAGAAGCTGGCAGCAGTGGCAGACAACTGACTGCTATTCAATCTATAACAGTGAAAAAAGTTTTTTGTTTTTAAATCCAAGCTATTGTGACACCAGATGTAATTGGTGGCACTGACTGAGGAAATGGGCACTGTGAGCCTGACACAGAAGCTGGCAGCAGTGGCAGACAACTAAGTGCATTTACATTACATAGAAAAAAAAAATAAAAAAAAAAGCATACCCTTATCCTAACCTAGCATACTTTTCCTATCTTATGAACAGCAGCTACACTTTTCCCTCCTCTTACTAAGCATGCAGCTTGAGAATGAATCTAAAATGGATGCTGTCCAGTAGGTGGGAGGGTCTGCTAGGGAGAGCTGTGTGCTGCTAATTGGCTGGAATGTGTCTGCTGACTGTGAGGTACAGGGTCCAAGTTTACTCAATGATGACGAATAGGGGGCGGGTCGAACCGCGCATATGTTCGCACGCCGTGGCGAACGCGAACATGCTATGTTCGCCAGGAACCGTTCGCCGGCGAACCGTTCGGTACATCACTAGTTATAATAGAGCATCCTGACATTACTAAATCTACTGTGTAGTGTGACACAGGATATAAGGGGAAAGGTGCTCATTAAGCCATATCATTCCAATCTTTTATTCTGAAAGAATAACATCAGTAAATTAATGAATTGTCTATTATAGCACTCAGGGAAGAAAAAAAACTTCAGAACCGTTATTTCTGAAGAAAATCTCCGGGGAGCCATGGCTATAATAAGACCGTCCCTCCCTCCTGGACGAATTAAGGTTTATTAAACAATTATTTAAATTTAGGGCTTGGTATAAATTCTTTACAGATCCAATAAAATGATTGTCTGTTTCCCATGATGTAGAAGATAAAGCCTGCTTAGAGTGAAATATATTAATAACATATTTTACTATCACTGTTCTTTGGGATCAAATAATATTAATCAGTGCATAACCAAGTCCCATGGAAAAAAGAATAATTAGGGTGCACCGAGCACTATTGTTCATTCTGGATCAGTCTGAGGTTGATCTTCTTTGCTTGGAATATCCAGAGTGCTTGATGGGACATCTTTTTTATCTGCTTGCATGAATCTACATCTGGTTCTCCTCGGTCAGAACGGCTCTTCTGGTGATGGCAACAACGGTTGTCAGAGGGCTGTATGGTGGATCAAAGGTTCCGGATTTGAAGAGGGATTTCACCAAGACTTTGTCTCCAGGCCTGAAAGGATGTGTGGTGGTACCTGAAGGATGAGGAAGAGATAGAGACAAATCACCATAGATGCCATTCATTTTGTCTACAAGGTTCAATACATATAACACAACATTTAGGTCTCCGCTCACCATCGGAGCACTTTTGGACTTACATCATGTAGTTGGAAAAGGTCTCCCCATTAAAATTTCAAATGGTGAATAACCCGTAGTGGAACTACGGGTCATTCTGATCTCAGCTAAAACTGCTGGCAAATTGTCTGGCCAATTGCGTGTGCTACCCAAGTCTCCTTTTGTCAATTTCTCCTTGATCGTTCTATTCATCTTTTCTACTTGCCCTGATGATTGAGGGTGATAGGGTATATGAAATTTCCAATCTATACTCAACATTTTACAAACCTGCTGTGTAACTGCTGAAGTGAACGAAGTTTCTTTATCACTATTAATCATAAATGGACAACCAAAACATGTCTACAATACAAGTAAATACTTGAGTCCACCTTATACCATTGTCATATGCGTGTAAATTTAACATTGGACCTTCCGGTGTAGGAAGGTGGTCATGTTTACCAAACTGTGGCTTGATAGTATTAACTCTTGCACATGTTAAGCACCTGGATAAAAATATTGATAACTGTCTGATCTAACCTGTTAATTACAAATAGTTAATTTAGCATAGCCAATACCCCTCTTCGTCCGACATGTCCATAGCCATGGAACTGTCGGACGAGTAACACAGAAGAAGCTTGAGGGATTGCTATGCGACCTTTATGATCCTAGAGGATACCAGAATTTGCATCAGGTGAAACAGAATGTTTACTCCAGTGAGCTAAGCTATCCGAAGATGATGCAGCCTGCATAGAAAGAATATCAATGTCATCAGTATGAGGGGCTATATGCAGTTAAGACCTGGTCAAAAGAAACAGTACTGTAATCTGCCCATAAAGAAAAAGAGGCAGCTGCCCTTTTCGCCACCAAATCTGCAAAATCATTACCATCCCTGACCATGGAGTGATCTGTATCATGGCCCTTGCAATTCACAATAGCTAAAGATCTAGGTAACAGTATGGCCCTTAATAATCCATCAATTAATGCAAAATGAGAAACAGTTCGACCATCAGCTGCAACAAAACCTCTAGCCTGCCAAATGACACCAAAATCATGAACCACTCCAAAGGCATATCTCGAATCAGTATAAATAGTCACATCTTGATCTTTAAAAGCAATACAAGCTTGTGTAAGAGCAATCAACTCTGCCTGCGCTGAGACAAAAGGTTAAGAACCTGCAGCTATTACACTATTAGGTATTTGTACAACTTCAAAACCACAAAGGAAAATAAACCAATAACTGATTTCAAAACTCTGACACAAAATCTTGCTCAGCCCAAAATACACAGAACCAACCTACATCAGTACCAGGTCTATCATGTTTAGTGTCCAAATTAAGAGCCATTTCTGTTGGTGAAATATAAGCATATTTAAAAACAACAGACAATAAAAAAACAAAAATCTGCCCCTCCAAACTGTTGATCCATTGTTACTCTTTTTAAATAATTAATAGCGCCTTCTGGAAGCTTAAACGGATCAGGACACTGAGTCCTAAGAGACACCAAATGTGATCCAGAAGGAAGCTTAGTTTTAACAGTCTCACCAGCAACTACAAAAGGATAGGCAGAAGCAGACACATGACTGGGAACTAGTACACCATGACTCTTATAACCCTCATCCACCACTAAAACACTATCAACATGCTTATTCCCTGCACCAACATCTACAGACTTTCTAGTCACTTTCTCATTTTTTCATACCAACATCAACATTTTCTGCAGTGGATCTCACCATTGCAGAAGGATTCACAACCATCTATCCAACATGCCTTTTCCCTCTACCAATCGCCATAAAATTTTCATCAGTATCAATATTCCGAAAAATCATTTTTTTTTTAATTCATCCAAACTGGGATATAATGATACAACAAAAGCACATAAGCAGGAGGTGCTGCAGAGGCCTGAACATACTTTGTAGTCTGATCAGGAACAAACCATAACTGATCACACTTTAACCATCCTGTAGCTGCATTATGCATATACTTTTTATCCCATTTTGGATCTCCACCTGGACCCCACTTTTTAAAACTTTTAATACACATACCTTGCAGAATTTGCAAATGAAAATCACTAAAAGAACCCTCTCTTGGCCATGGATTACAAATCATTGTATCAAAATTATCTGACCATGCAACTAAATTTGTACAAAATGGCTCAGCATAGTAATTTCCAATAGTTTCTTGAACAAAATGGCATGGAGTTTGGCCTAATCGAGGACCCTGAGACTTGACTTGGGGAGTACGTGACGCAGCACTATTAGGGACATCTTTAGATTATTTAAATTTTACAGAATTTTGTTGGGAATTTTTTTTTTACCATTACTGGAGCCCATTTCCAACTTCACACAGATAACACTTTACAATATATAACACTTTATATATAAGCAATGCACACTTTTTTTAAACAATACAACTATACATGCAGCGCTGCAATAAACAAAAATAAGATTTATTCTACTGTGTCCAAACTGTGCACTCAATACATTGACTAAATGTGGTCACTCAGTGGGACTGCTATACCCACTATATACAACTTACCGGTAAGATGGGACTCTAACCCATAAAATATTGATGTTTCTCTTATACAACTTAACATGGGACTCTAACCCAAACTTAACATGGGACTCTAACCCAAACTTAACATGGGACTCTAACCCAAACTTATCATGGGACTCTAACCCAAACTTAACATGGGACTCTAACCCAAACTTAACATGGGACTCTAACCCAAACTTAACATGGGACTCTAACCCAAACTTAATATGGGACTCTAACCCAAACTTACCATGGGACTCTAACCCAAACTTAACATGGGACTCTAACCCAAACTTAACATGGGACTCTAACCCAAACTTAATATGGGACTCTAACCCAAACTTAACATGGGACTCTAACCCAAACTTAACATGGGACTCTAACCCAAACTTAATATGGGACTCTAACCCAACCTTATCATGGGACAATAACCCATACTTATCATGGGACTCTAACCCAAACTTATAACAAAAACAAAAAGAAAGGCAAAACAAAAACAAGAAAACATTACTTTTCTGCGACCACAAAATTTTGTTCAGAGAATCCAAACAGGGCAAAGAACACAAAAATAAAACACAAAATGTTCTTACCCGATTTGGATTCTCTCTCCACTTCTGACACCATATTGTTGTGGTTTAAATTCAGCAGACAGCAATGTTTTCTCTCAGGTATGAAGACAAGGAATGGACACAGCAGAAATACGAGCTCGGAGGGCAGTACTCATTCACACAAGTGTATGGCAGAATACTACACCTAATTTTAATGGGGAAGACACAGATCTTATAACAAAATTCTATACACATCCAAAAGGGGTTGTCTTCACATAATACAGTCATGTCCTGTCAATTGCATATTAAAAGAACTTAAAGCACATTTGGCATTAGCTGGTCAAAAGGTGTTACTTAATTAAACAAACACTTCCCAACAAGGTGTTATCAGGATATGCAGTGCAGGGGGGGAAACAAGAAGAAGATACAAATCAGGATCAAAGGCCAGCTGTTATAATAGAGCATCCTGACATTACTAAATCTACTGTGTAGTGTGACACAGGATATAAGGGGAAAGGTGCTCATTAAGCCATATCAACGACCAAACACCACTGTAGGTTTGTGCGCAAAGATGGCCACCGCCACATGTTCGGTCATACCAACAGCGGCCACCCATCCGACCATTTAGAACCTTGTGGTTTTCTGCTGTGAAGATAGTCAATTGGAGGCACACGACTGCCTTGGATGGTCTCCCCGTTCGATGGTTGGTTCGACTGATGAACAATATATCTATATTCTGTTTGGGAACTTTAAATAGTTGAACCAACTCAGTCTTTCATAGAAATAAGTGGCTAGTTTTTCCACACTGACATTTGAGATACTTGGGCACTCTGCTCTACCTCTTCAGTAAAGAGTGGTTCTAATAGCACCAACAAAGTTTCTGATGAGCTCTTCCTTAGTTGCTCCTTTTGGGGGCAAAATAGGGAACACCATAAAACATAGATTTAATAAACATTCCAAATGATTCAATGCTGTTAGAAAAACTTTCCAAAATATTTATCTAGAGAAGGCACCAATAAATTGTAAAGGGTTTTTTGTCGATAGATTATTAAGTGTTCTTGCATAGCAAGACCACTTAATGTTATCTCACATATATATTATTATTATTATTATTATAGCAAAATTTGCCACCCTAACTCCTCCCACAGTTTTTACACTACATAGACAAAAATTTACCAAAACGTGCAGATTGTTCCCGATCGGATTGCTATTACTTTGTGGAACGTTTCGCCGAATGGTTCACGGAATATCGTCGTTCTTGTGGCGAAATTTGTCCCATAGGAATGAATGGCAAAGCTAGAGTGGGAGCTGGCAAAAGTTGAAAAATCAGGACATGATTTCTAAACTGCCACCACTCCCTTATTTTCAGGCCCACCTACACAAATCTTATATCAAAACGTTCAGCTATGCCTGCTGCCACTAAACGGCTAAGCCATAGTCCTGATAGTTTTCACAATATAATCATTTGTTTGCGACTAACGCCGTCCATTGACATTCATTGAAACTTCACTCTTCAAAGCTCAAATTTGAAGGGCAATTTCTAAACTGCGACTGTGCCTTCATTCTTAATACTTCAGAGACATACTATGCATCAAAATGTAGGTCTGGGTCTTGTGATTCTCACAATATAAAGCTCTTTGCTGTAGGAGTTATAGTTTTTAAGATACGACCGTTTGAAGATGGCAACCGCCAAAATACTCTGACCTGTGTCAAGTTGCAGCAGCAAGTGATGTCATAGACAGGGCCTTTTGAACACCTGCTAATGTTTTTATAAATGTATGGTTTAATGTAACTGTGCAACAACGTTGCAATTAAATGTGCTATGTAAATGATAACAGTTACTCCGCCCACTCCAGTTGTAGACTACAGATGGAGCAAAGAACACTTCACACAATTTCCCCAGAAATTGTAGCTTTTCTAGTTTAGAAATTGTTTTCTTACAGTATTGA